CTCTCTCTCTCTCTCTCTCTCTCTCTCTGTCTGTCTCTCTCTCTTTCTATGCCCCTCCCCTGCTCATGTTCTTTCCCTCTCAAAAATAAATAAACAATTTAAAAAAATAGCAATCAATCCTCTCCAAAGTTGGTTTTAACTCGGGATCTTGTCAGTCCTCCTTAGCCATTTCTTTTTTCTGCCTGTGGCCAATAAACTGCCCCATTGACTCTTTGGCTATGTAACTAAAGGCTGTATTATCTTCTCCAACCTGTTCACTGAAGCCCCAGTGTACCTGGGCGGGGCAATTTATGACTGTGACTGAGGCAAGTATCGAACCTCCGTGAGCCTCCATTTTCTCATCTGCAGAACACAAGAATACTACCCAACAGTGCTTTGTGATGATTAACACATGTAAAATGTCCAGCACTGCGCCTGGACTAGACGTTATTACTACCACAGTAATTACTCCTGGTCCCTCCCTCAGGTGAGCAATGGCTGTGGCACCTTCCCCATCGGGACCAGCTCCGCCTGCACAAAACCAGTCCCCCTCCTCTTACTTCCTGTCACCCTAAGGGAGGAAACAGGGAGGGACTCCAGACAGCACGGGGATCCCCAGCCCGGGCTCTACATTCTGCCACAGCCCTTCCTAGACGCAGCCTGGTGTCCTGGTGTCCACGAAGGTGGATGGTTTCCCTGGCAGGACCCCAACCCAGATCTCAGGGATACCGGCATCCATCAGGGGGAGCCACTCAGTGTCACTTAGTTTCTTCAGCAAAGTCAGACAATGAAGCATCACCAAATACGTCTGGCAACGCCTTTCTGGTTTCCCCCCCTTTCAAAAATTTTGTCGGAGCGATCTTTGGTCAGCGGAAACAAGGCAGGCCCTGAAAAAGCTGCTGTGGTGTCTACCTCGATCATCTTTCCACGTCGTGGAGAATGAGGTGCCGTTCAGGAATCCAGCTGTAGCAACGGCATCGTCTTTCCAGGGGCCCATCTTGCGTCAACTACTAACCGATGCTCCCTTTGACTGTGTAGCCCCAAATTAGGCACTTGTCACTCCTGGCCCTCGAATCATTTCGAGAAGCACATGTTACTTCTCAACTTTGCCAGGAGTGTGAGGAGACACATGAAGACTGTGTCTCCTCTTCTGGAGCTGGGGGGATAAGGGTAGAAACAAAGCAGAGACAGTCATTTGCCCCAGATGACAGACCTCGTCAGGATGGTGACATCAATTATGAACTCTTTTGCTGACTGGGTTCCTTTGCCGTGGCATGTGTAGCGTTGAAAGAGTTCCACTACCTTTCACATCTATACTGCCCCCCCCCCCCAGGCCAATGCGTAATTAAAATGTTCCAGGGGCGCCTGGGCGGCTCAGTGGGTTAAGTGTCTGACTTCAGCTCAAGCCATGATCTCACAGTTCGTGGGTTCGAGCCCCACATAGGGCTCTGTGCCGATGGCTCAGAGACTGGAGCCTGCTTCGGATTCTGTGTCTCCCTCTCTCTCTGACCCTCCCCTGCTTGCACTCTGTCCGTCTGTCTGTCTCTCTCTCTCTCTCAAAAGTAAACATCAAAAAAAATTTTTTTTTTAGGGCACCTGGGTGGCTCAGTCGGTTAAGCATCTGACTTCAGCTCGGGTTATGATCTCATGGTTCGTGGGTCCGAGCCCCATGTGGGGCTCTGTGCTGACAGCTCAGAGCCTGGAGCCTGCTTCAGATTCTGTGTCTCCCTCTCTCTCCCTCTCTCTGCCCCTCTCCCACTCACTCTGTGTCTCTCTCAAAAAGAAATTTTAAAAAAATGTTTAAAAAAGAAAAAGAAAAACGCCCCCTAATTCAAAATGCTGCTGTCGACCCTCCAGCAAGTTTAGAACTGTGACATAAAAAGGAGCATCAGGAAGGACAAGGCTCCAGAAACAACCCAAACATGGCTGGCGGCTTAGAGCTCCCACCCCCTGACTGCAACTTAAAATAATCTCCCCTTTCTATTCCTGAATCTGCATCTCTGCTGGCAAACATTCTTCCTTCAGACCTGATGGCTGAAATGACTTAGAGCTCAGAGAACCTGTGTTATTGACCAGGAAGAAGAAAGGCTGGGTTAAAACCTGCCTCCGCTGGCACAAATTACCTGAAGTGGTCAGTTCACTAATCTACGAAAGGGGACTGTGCCCACCTCCCCTTCGAGGGTGCTGGTGAGCATCAAATTAGGTAGAGACCATGGAAAAGACCTGTGTTAACTATCAGTTTCCCTTCTTAAGTTTAAACCTGAATTACAGTTTCCCAGGTTGTGTAATTTGGGCCGCATCTCTACCTCTGAGACATGGAGGTCGCAGAGGAGACTGACCTGGATTATGTATGAAGGAGCTGTGATCTCCTGACCCCTAGAAATCAGGGAAACTCTATGCGCCCAAATCCATCCAGGCTCTCTGATTAGGTAAACAAAGCGGAAGGAAAACAGAGACATTTCTGAAAGAAGAAAACAGGACTCAAAACACAGGGTTAGCTAATATCCCATCTCAAAACAAGTTTCAGGACACATTCACTAGAAAGCACGTGAGAGGGAAAGGTGAGAAAGTGCGTTGAAAGCATGGTTTTTCTACTTTTTTGTCTTTGAAGATCAGGGTTGCTTGATTTTTAAGAGAACAGAAATGCAGTGTGCTTTGCGGGGGGACCAATTTGCTATAAGCTGCATTTGTTTCAGGTTATGTCAAATAAACGGTAGAGAAATAGTACTCAGCACACTGGGAAGAAAAGGCAAGAAATTCTAGGGTTTGGAACTATATCCACTGTCTGCACAGTTCAGTTCTTTAAAATCCAGATAAAGGAATCTCCCCGTAGTTCTTGAAAACCACAGACTAACTGGTAAAACAAATAGTCAAATATAATCACAGATAGGGTGCTTCCCACATCTTTTATGTATTTCAATATTACTGGGAGAAAAAAAAGTGCATTGATTTTAAATCTTCATTTTTTTCTTAACAGATATGCGTCATTACACTTGAAAGTTTTGTGCGTTTATTTTTGCATTTTTTTTATTATTGAGGTATAGCTGACATTACATTAGTTTCAGGTGTACAACTTAATGAGTTGATACGTGTATATCTCCAAAAATGGTCACCATAGTAAGTCTTGTTAACATCCATCGCATACACAAACAACTTTTATTCTTGTGATGAGAACTTTTAAGATTTGCTGTTAGCAGCTCTCAAATACACAATATGGCATTATTAATCATAGCTGCCAGGCCGTACATTATTTTGTGTGTGCTTAAGGACAATCAAGCTATCATCTTTTCACTTAAAATGGTATTTATATGGGTGCCCTGGTGGCTGAGTCAGTTAAGCATCTGACTCTTGATTTCGGCTCGGGTCACGACCTCACAGCCGTAGGACTGAGCCTCGTGTCAGGCTCTGCACTGACAGCGTAGAGGCTGCTTGGGATTCTCTGCCCCCCCCTCAAAAATAATAAACATTTTTTAAAAATTGATATTTATTAACTGTTCAGGTGAAGCTAAGTAGGTAAGGACTGGACTGGTCCATAAGTTTTGTTACACATCTGCATTTAAGACCCAAGAAGAAAAAAGGAAAAACTGCCTGCCTAGAACAGCTCATTATGAGAGGTACCTACAATGTATACTTTACATTGTATACAATGTATACTTTGTAAACTTTGTATACAATGTATACTGTGTATACTTTGTATGCTACAATGTATACTTTAGGACTATTTCCTGTAACAAGTACTTTACAAATGCCTCCAGAACTGATCCTTCAGAATCAATTGCAGGCTCTAACTATTCTAACCACATTTAAACTACCAAAGTTTAAGGAAGTTTTATATATTCCACTGCTTTAAGTCTTCTAGAATAAACTTCTTGTGTTTATGAGAGCTTTCAAATCTATACATTTTAAGCGAATAGTAACTCCAGGAGGTAAATAACCATGTCTAATAATCCTTTTTTCTGATAGTTTATAATTTTCCAGGGGCGCCTGGGTGGCGCAGTCGGTTAAGCGTCCGACTTCAGCCAGGTCACGATCTCGCGGTCCGTGAGTTCGGGCCCCGCGTCGGGCTCTGGGCTGATGGCTCAGAGCCTGGAGCCTGTTTCCGATTCTGTGTCTCCCTCTCTCTCTGCCCCTCCCCCGTTCATGCTCTGTCTCTCTCTGTCCCAAAAATAAATAAACGTTGAAAAAAAAAAATTTATAATTTTCCAAACATTTCCATGTGCATTACTCTAATAACGTGACCCTCACAACAGCCCGGCCATATGGGTATTATTCCTATTTTAGCAGATGAGAAACTCAGAGTTCAGAAAAGGTGAGTAAATGCCCCAAGTCACAGCGCCTGCAGAGGAGTGAGCAGTTTCCTGAATCCAGGTAGAATAAAGACCCATCAGGGATATTCTTAAAGGAAAGGCTCAATAATGAAAAGCAGAAATCAGCAGATTGGTGAGAAGGGTGGGACCCAGTAATAATGAAGCTAAAGAAACTGTGTAGTAGATCATGAGGGGTTAGGGACTCGTCTACTAATAGTGAAAGAGACTATTAATGACACCATATTACAAACAACGCATTGTTGTTATTAATGATGATGGAGGGAGGCGCCTGGGTGGCTCAGTGGGTCAAGTGTCCGGCTTCGGCTCAGGTCATGATCTCACAGTCCGTGAGTTCGAGCCCCGCGTCGGGCTCTGTGCTGACAGCTCAGAGCCTGGAGCCTGCTTCGGATTCTGCGTCTCCCTCTGTCTCTGCCCCCCAAATAAACATTAAAGAAAAAAAAAACATTAAAACAATGATGATGGCTAACATGTATCACATCCTTACTATGTCAGACCCATGCCCTACATGCATTCACAAAGAACCTGTGAAGTGAGCATTATTCCTACTTTCCAACGGAAAACCTGAGGGTTAGAGAGGTTGAGTATCTTGCCCTAGGTCACAAAAATCTTAAATCCTGACAAGGGGATTCAAATCCAGGACTCCAGAGCTCTTAAATGTTATGGCATTAGGGAAACAATACTTCCCAATGTGGACCACACTCTTGGGTCACAAACGTCAAGCCATGAAAACAGTGTACAGGGTTATCCAGTGCCCAGCACAGAGCTTATCACACAGAAGGACCTCACATGTCTGTTAGATGAAATGTATTCCATAAGTCCTGCAACTAGCTGTTTGAAAGAGGAGGGTCATTAACACCTCCCAGGAAGGCAATGTTTTACAGGGCAGCAAGTAGAAACAGATTGGAGGAAGGGGGTGGTATATACCAAACATCTTCTAAGGGTCTGAAGCCCGATCTAAAACCAAAGGTCTCTAGCAGAGGAAGCATGAAAGGTTGGGCTCTAAGCATACAAAGTAAACAAAAAAGGTCCTCAACTGCTCTTTAAGCTCATGGATTATAACCTGGATTGCACTAGACAACGTCCGGCGACTTTCAGGTGCTTCTCTTCGTTCTGAGTCAGCAAAAAAAGGTTCAAGAACAAGACACTTATAACTAGCAGGTTCCTCAGCCAATCAAGGCTAGCCATGATGCTGGTAAAAGAAAATTCATCAATAATCCAAAGAGAGGCCTATGTCCGCCTTCTCCCTTTTAAAACTAGGTTCCGCTTGTTGGAAAGGTTACTAGACATCAGAACACAGAGGCGGCGGAGAAGAATGGAGAGCCTCAGAATACTGCCCAACCACAAGGGCACCACAAGCTCTTCCCCATTCCGGAAGCTTCACACACACACACACACACACACACACACACACACACACACACACAGTGTCCCCTCTGCGCGGAGCACGACAGTCATCTTTCCAGACAGGTCTTCTCTACCCCTCTTATCGAAGCACAGCACACACTCCTCTCTGATCTTCCATCGCAAAACCCCGCTTGTTACCTTCCTAACACTCTTCTCCGTGAGTAACTTTTCTTTCGTACCTGCGGACTGTCTTTCCTGCCCCGTCTCATCAGGAGGGAGGAGAATGCCCAACTAACTCTCTGCTGTATACCCAGCACTAGAGTCT